CGAGAGAGAGAGAGAGAGAGAGAGCGAGAGAGAGAGAGAGAGAGAGAGCGAGAGAGAGAGAGAGAGTTGGGGAGGGATGGAGGGAGAGGCGAATATCCCAGTAATTAGATTTATCTGTGAGTTAATTCATTTGTGCAACTCTGCCTCTGTAACCACGCCATAACAAAATTTAACGTTCTCTGCCAATCTCTTCCTCTGCCAGTCTGCTAGAGCGTCCCACGACCTGGAAGCATTAGAGAAGGCGTGTGCGGAGAAGGTGGCGCGACTGGAGAGGTGCAGGGAGGGGCTGGAGGAGCAGCTCAGCGACATGAGAAGCCAGTTTCACCAGGAGAAGGTCTCGCACGACGAACAGACGCAGGAGGTCCGGATGAGGGTGCGCGCAGAGGAGGTGAGGCCTTAACCCTTTACCCACCGAGAGTTTTCTTATGGTGAGGGGGAGGGGGAGGGGTCTCATGAGTGTTGCATCACGATTTCGTAATTTGAAAGTAACGAGTTCATAGTTTGATGGGATGTGGATTACATGGCAAGTGCTACGCTGTTACTATACGGGAACGAAATGCTCACCATTGGCAACAGTTTACGATGACAGTTTGTATCAAAAACCCATTTTGATATTTTAGTGTTGTAGACTGGTGGGTCTACTGTGGCAGTGTTGCAACCATGGCAGGTTAGGGATAATTAACCATCGATGGTAAACGCTCAACCCACTACGTTACGAGATGGTCTATATCGCGTAGAAGTGCGCATTTTGTGACTGAATGTCCGCGCCCAACTCCTATTAACCATCTTGTCGTGGCAGAGCGAGAAGCAGCACCACCTGCTGGAGAGAATCCGTCACCTGGAGCAGGCGAGGGTGGAGCTTGAGACTCACGCGGCGCAGCAGATGGGCGTCGTAGATCAGCTGCAGACTAAGAACAGCGCCATCTCTCTGGAGAAGGAGGTGCTAACCAGAAGGATCAACATGACGAGACGGCGCACGACGCCTCGCTGCGCATATCTCACCTGCAGGTGGCGCTGGATGAGCGGCGCTCGATCGTCGGATCGCTGACGACGCAGCTGCACGCGACCGAGACGAGTCTCGTTGCCGCGGAAACCACCGCCGGCGACCTCTCCGCGAAGCTGAGGAAGCGGGAGGAGGAGGCGGTCGCCGCGGCGACGCAGCATCGCGTCGAGGTCGCGGCGGCGCGGGAGGAGAGGGAGAAGCTGGAGGGAGAACTGCTGGCACGCGTCGCTGCGACGACAGAGAGGTGCGAGCGCGCAGAGAGGAAGCTGGAGGAGACGGGGAGGAGGTACGAGCTGGAGCGGGGGCAGGCGTGCGCGCTGAAGGAGGAGCTGGCGAGCGCGCAGGCCGAGAGGAAGCTGAAGGCGTGCGAGATGCAGGAGAGACTCCAGCAGGAGAGGAGCCGGGGGAAGCAGACGCTGCAGGAGCAGGAGGAATTACGGCAGAGAGAGGTAGCTAGAGAGGGGGAGGTGGGAGAGAGAGGGAGAGAGAGAGGGAGAGAGAGAGAGAGAGAGAGAGAGAGAGAGAGAGAGAGAGAGAGGAACAGAGAGAATTTTAAAGAAAGAGAGATCGAGGCGACGGGGAAGAGACGGACCATGAGGTAGGATAGTGAGAGACAGAGAGAAGCAAAGCTAGGGGAGCTAGAGCGAGAAATGGCGAGAAAGAGATAGTGGGAGAGACAGATGGAAATATTGGTGGCGAAGAACAGTGAGGGTGAAACAGCGAGAACCTCCCGGATCAATGACACGCATCCAGCGAGCGCGCAGACGCTGGCGGCGTCCGCATCCTTCCGTGATTGAAGACTCACGTACCACCACCAGCAGCAGCAGCAGCAGCAGCAGCAGCAGCAGCAGCAGCAGCAGCAGCAACCTGCGTGCGACCCCTCCCCCTCCCCCCTCCCTGTCGCAGCGCTTCCACGGCAGCATCCGAGGCCACGGGCCGCCGCCACGATCCCCAACAATGGCATATACTTTGCCTTTCTTACAGCAGCCGAGTGTGTGCTGCGAAATCAATACGCATGTACCGGCGGAGTGCGAGCGAGGCGCGTATTTGTCACGGCGGCGATTCGCATCCCTACGTGTGCGCGTTGCTGTGCCAACGCGATGGCCAGCTGCTCGCAGCATGCCAAGGTGCGAGCGATGGAGGGCGGCAGGGAGGCAGAGAGAGAGAGAGCGGGGGGGAGAGCGGTGGAAGGGCGAGAGAGGAGGAAGGGAGAGAGGAGGAGGAAGGGAGAGAGAGGGGGAATGGAGAGAGAGCGCGCGCGAAACAGAGGGAGGAGCGAGATGGAGGGAGAATAAGAGCGAGAAAGGGAGGAGGGAGAGAGAGGGAGAGGGGGGGGAGGGAGAGAAAGCGAGAAAGAGAAGGGGAGAGAGAGATGAGGAGAGGAGAGAGATGGCGGCTACCAGGGCTTCAGTCACCTCCAGGGAAGCTGTCATTAACAGGAACATGCATAGGCCTACAGGCTGTGATGTACACGTCGGGGGGAAATGGATTCATCAAGAAATAGTACGTTTGTTCCCAATCAAGCATGCGAAACGGACGGGAAAAGTTTTTGCCTCGACGAATGAGTAGTAGAGTATTATTGTTCGCTGATGACAAATACATTTTTCATTTTGCGGGCGGTTACGCGTAAAGTAAGGCATACTAACGTGGATCCGCGTTTTACAGATAAATTTGTTAAGTTAAACAAGAATTTAATAATAAGCGCTTTAAACGAAAGTAAACATGCTGTAATATAACGTGCCGCCATCCGGAACGTTGAATTATGTATCCAGTATGTTGTAGTAGACTGCAGATAAGAAGCAATAAGATTGGTGCAGTAAATGTTGATAGCCATTGAGTGGTGCATAGGAATAAAACGGGTGAGGGTAATGCGACTGGTATTTGTAGGTGGTGGAAGGTGATTCGTGAGTCGTTGGAAGGGTATGTTAGAATGTGATCTGTCTGGTCATGTTTTGAAAGGATATGTTGGAATGCGAATGGTTCGTTATATATGTTGGTAGGAGATGTGAAGTAATGAGATTGGATTGATACATGTTAGTACGTAGTAGATAGTGGAACGATATTGGTTTGGCATTTGCTGGTAGAGGATAGGTCGATGCAGGTTGGTAGATGGTAGAATAGAATTGGTTTAGTACATGTTTCTAGTAGATGCTGAAATGATATTGGTGTGGTATATGTTGGTAGATGGTGGAATAGAATTGGTTTAGTACATGTTGCAAGTAGATGCTGAAATGATATTGGTGTGGTATATGTTGGTAGATGGTGGAATAGAATTGATTTAGTACATGTTTCTTGTAGATGCTGAAATGATATTGGTGTGGTATATGTTGGTAGATGGTGGAATCGAATGAGATTGGTTTCGTACATATTGGTAGAAGATGGTGTCATGAGGTTGGTTTGTTATTTGTTGATAGCAGATCGTGAAACAAGATTTGTTTGGTACTTGTTCGTGAATAGTGGAATGTTTTTGGACTGGTATATGTTGGTAGGAGATGGTGAAATAAGAGTGGTTTGGTGCATGTTACAAGGAGTTGGTGAAATGCGCGGTTTGGTATTGGGTAGTCACTGATAGCGAAATGAGGTTGTCAGGAATATGCTGGAGTCAAAATTATAAAAAAAATCATCAGCAAAGAATCGCAACATATAAACGCACTGACATTTCTAGTCTGTTTGTCATCGGTTAGATCAGGTCTGATGTCTACCTAGCTTGCACTAACGTAACATAAGTAACTTAAGTTAAATTGACTACGTCACGAATTTTCTATGGTAAAATTTGTAACATTTTTGTTGCCATTTTTTTACATTAAAAGTAAGAACTAACGGGACTAAACGTATCGTCAAATTCTTACCTGATAAGATTGTTTCTTAACTAGTTAAAAATCCAAAAAACCTGGACGATTTGATATTAGTGTTCTTAACATTAATTGCTTGCTATGGATTATGTATGAGTGTAGTAAAAAATAGTTAAACTATTTGAATTTAAACATACGCAT